GAACAGCTGCAGGTAAGGGCCACTAGAACGAATAAGGGGTGGACATCAAGGAAAAAGAAGAGGTATTTATGTTAAATGACAATATTGCTACAAAAATAAATAGGTGAAAACTGTTTACAAGTCAATTTAGACTGGAAATTAGAAGGTTTTTTACTATTAGAGGAATAAAGTTCTGGAACAATGTGGAAGAAAGGAACCTGAACTGCTTTCAAGATGGGGCATAAGTTTACAGAAGAGTTAGTACAATTGATGGGGGCACTCTTGGAGTAATAATGTGTGAGATATGCTATAAAGAATACTGATCACCATATGGACTGCTTGCATTTCTGGGAGACGTTAGGTAATTGCATGCTTTAAGGTTTCTGCTAATAACCTCTAAGGGTGAGAAAGATTTCTTTTTGCCCCTCTCCTTTAAAACAATTTGGCTTCTGGGTGTTTTTTTCTTCTTTTTTTCTCTTTTACTGCTCTTTTTTTAAGCACTGGACATTGACCCTGGCTAGAGATGGACAGTTAGGAGTACCAGCACACCATAGCATATGGTACCAAGAAACCCCTCAGGTGCCTGGCTACTGGGCCTTGCCTGGATACTTATGGTAAAAACCAGTAATCAGATTTGGGGTTGGGAAGGAATTGCCTCCGAGTCAGCTCAGCAGTAACTAGTGTCCACTTCTTAGGATCACCTCAGCATATTTTACCTAATAAACTGCCTGCTTTTGGACTGGAAAAGGTACTGATGGTGTCTTTGTCTTCTGCGTTCTTGCTGTGGCACAGTGTAAAGTTTAGTTTTTTTAAACCAGGTGCTTTGTGGATTGGTGTGCGATACACGCCAGAGTAGATACTCTTATGGCTCCTTTTGAAGAAATACTTTATTACATGGTTGCTTGCGAGCACAGCAAACTGGACTCTGCATATACATATATATAGCATACACATAATAAACATAAACATATATTTTGCAGCCATTATATTATAATGCACACATTACTGGACTGGCCACATTGCATGTACAAACCAAAAAAAAAAGTAGTAACTGAAGAAGTTGCAGAAACAAACTGGCAATGAACAGGGAAAATTCTGCCTGTGATTGAAACAATAAAATACCTGCTTTGGAGACATTCAAATGCAATTCCCTATGGCGAAACTCAAGTTATAGTTTTGACTACAGCATCTGATAAAAAAAAAATGCTACTAGGAAAGTATTATATAAAAGCAATAGTGAAGGAAACAAAAACATACGGAGAATAACACTGCACAAATGAGTCAGATTCAAACTGGTGCTGAGGAGTGAGTCTGACATGCAGCTGCAGATGGTGGCAACCTCTGAAATTAACCTTTTCCATCAGTGTAACCAAGAAGTATTGTTACTATAGGAAACAAAAATGAGTACCCAGGGAACCATTTCAGAGCTGCAGATTTTCTAGAAGGTATCTACTAATGCAAGGACAGGTAGGAAGCTGTGAAAAGGAATAAGAAATTCACACCATCTTCTCTCATTCCCAGAAATCTCCTCCACCCACAAGCAACAGGCAGTGAAGTTTTTCAATCCCAGCTTGATATTTCAATAAATAATTATGTTTTTCCATCTGAACAACGAGCTAGACATGGCAAACTGTAATTAACAACATGAAGCATAATAGCACTTGGCATGCTCACTCCTTGTTTCTGAACAGGCTGCAAGAACCCTTTAAAAGCCAATCCAAAAAAAATTGCATAATAATTACACACTAGCTTGATTAAGATCCTCTAATAATGTCATGCCTATTGTGTCCCCACTCTTGAAATGCCAACATAATAAGATGCTCAGTTCATACTTTGTGGAATTGCATCTGAACAGTTTGCGAAAGGAGTATTCCCTGTACAAAACAATATTATGACGTCAATATGAACAGATTAAGCTTGCATACTCTGAAGTGAAATGTAAAGACAGGCTGAACAGCACTGTGATACATTTAAGATACCTTTTCAGTATAAGACCCTGTTTTCAGTTGCTTAGACTTACGCCAAACACGCTTGGTTTCAAAACTTTCTTCACTTGCAACTAAAATATTTCAGGCAAAGGGCTCAGCTATTTCTAGGAGCAAAAATAAGGAAGAACACAATACAACAGGCCTACAATAAGGAAATCTGGTGAGCCTCTCAACAGCTCTAGTGTCCTCTTGCTCTGGAGCAGGGACTTGAAGTATGGTAAGAAATGGCCAGGTGCCACTTGCTGTCCGGTGAAAACCTGCCTAACTTGAGTGGAGTTATAAAGCTCTGAAAAATTGCCGTCTGCACTTGGCTCAGTAGAAACTTAGACCCGAGCCACTAAAACCCTGCAGGTTCGTTGCCCACCGAGCATGATCAAGCTGCTGCCAACTTCTCCACGTGACAAGGCTGGGCCCACTCAATTCCACAGAGCAACGGAGTAGGCTTCTCCGATCTACAGCTCAAGCACGCTTTTCCTGTAAAGTCTAGGCCAGACACGCTTACTTAGGGCATTTCTTTATTTTTGGGTGCTTGATGTATTGTCAGTGATGGTTTTTTTAATATAGTTTTTTTTACATGTAATTCCAGTACAGCATGATGAGCCACTGTAGAAACAGAGGCCCTCAATCATACTCAGTCATGCTATGGAAGAAACATTAATTCTCCAAAAATTCAGCATGCACCGCAGTTTCAAAAATGAGTTCTGAGTTGGCAATGCAGCCACATACTGCATATACAAAGTGATTAACTGTATATAATTTGCAGTTCCCAAATGATTGTGCCATTACCCATAATCTGAGACGTACGCATGCTTAACTGAAGCACAATTTTAATTTTGCCCTAAATTAACAAGATAGGTAGAATATTTAAAAGAAATTCATTTCTTTTAAAAAGCTTCATTAAAGAGTAATTAACTAATGCTCACAAAGCAATCTGATGTTGTAAATTACTATGATAATGCTAAGTATTATTATTATGAATTGCCTATTAAAATAAAATATTCTCTTTTCCCCCTCATCATCTTTCTTTCAGGAACCCAGGGAAATAAAGATCACATCTTTACCCTTGCCTGAAATAAGTCATAAGAACTGCTCTCAAACGACATACAAGCAGCATTGTTCTGTTGACAAGTTGAGTTAGCAACCAACTAGATACTGAGTTTCAATTAGAAAAAAGGAAGGGAAGAAAATAGAGGACAGCATGTTACCATAGGTCAATTATTTTGTATGCTTTGGAGTGTATTCCTAAGAGGTAGACACATAGCAATCTTAATGATACCAGGGACATACCTCCCACATTTCCTTGGGAGAGTTAAAAGTCTTAAGGGCTCCATTTAGCAGGGACTCTGGAGACTAATGAGCTTGAAGGCATAACTTTCCTTCCTGGAGGTGTACAGAACTGAGCCATAGCAATGAAACTGAGAAAAAATTGGCAGGTATTAAACCAGGGATCGGCAAACCCCCAGCACACATGCCAGAGCATGGCAGGCAAGGCTACTTTCCTCGGCACACCACAGCCAACCCGGACACTGGGCAGCTTCTTCCAGCATATGCCCAGAGTCTGGGCTGGCTGCAGCCAGGAGGCTGCAAAGAGCTGCATGGGGCTCTGCAGCCCTGGCACCAGTTCTGTGACTGCAGCAGCTATGCGTGCACCTCTGGGCACATGGCTGGGAAGGGGCCTGGGGCAGCGCAACCCTGGCTCTTCCCCCACCATCTGCCCAGAAGCATGTGTGCAGCTGCCACCGCCATGGAGCCAGTGCCAGGGCTGCAGAGCTGGGCACAGCTGTTTGCAGCTGTCTAGCTGCCTGCTACAGCTGTCCAGAGCCTTGGACAGGCAGCCAGGAGGCTGCCAGGAGGTTGCAAATGGCTACGCTGGCCTCCGGAGCCCCAGCACCAGCTCCAGGGTGGTGCAGGTGCGCACATGGCTCACAGCACACAGCAGGCAAGGGGCTGGGGCAGCACAACCCTGGCTCCTCCACCAGGCAACCACCAGCACATGCACAGCTGCCACGGAGCCAGTGCTGGGGCTGCAGAACCTGACACAGCTGTTTGCAGCCTTCCAGCCACCTGCTACAGCTGCCCAGAGCCAGGAGGCTACTTTCCGTGGTGGTGGGTACACATGTAGCTTGCAGTGCATGGCGTGGAAGGGGCTGGGGCAGCGCAACCTTGACCTGTCCCTTGCCATCCATCCAGAGGTATGCATGCAGCACCCGCAGCCTTGCATGTCCCCCATCTCTGGTACGCCAAGTTGAGGTGTGAGTGGAGGTTGGGGTGATTTTGGCACTCTGGCCAAAAATGTTGCCAACCCCTGTATTAAACTTTGTAAGAGACTGGCAGAGGGGGGTGGAAACTGCCCTTTTCTACATTTTCAGTACTTAAATTTCTAGATGTATTCAGTAGAAGGCATACCCATCTTGCCCAACCTGTCGGAGTTTCACACATGTTCCTGATACAGAGCTGGGCGCTTTTAATTAGCAAGTCGCAATAATTAAAAGTGCCTGGTGCTGAATTGGGTGCAGGTATATAAGCGGCGCAGCATATTTCAGTGCTGAGAAAACAGTGGCGGCACACTTTGAACTAAAGCACACTGAATGTGTTTCAGTTCCAAGCACAGTGCCCGCCATTTTCTCAGCTCTAATGCATGCTGTGCCACTTATACAACTGTACCCAATGCAGTGCCAGGCACATCATTATGTGCTCCAGCAGACTCAGTTAATCATTTAATTGAGTCTGCTCCTACACACTGGATTTCCGGCATGTCAGAGTGGACTTGCTGCATGTGTGTAAGTGCCCTAGGGCCTGATCCCACACATTCTTGTGCCCACAGGTACCAATTACTACTGTGCAATGTCCTTCTGAAATCAAAGTAAAATTCACCACGCCCAAAAGAAAGTGTGCGTAGGACAGGCCAGTAGATCGTAAACTCCCTGGGGCTCCACGGACCATTTACTACTATTCAGCAAGGCACCATACTTTCCCATGTTACTATACACATAACAGTAACATTAAATATTCCATAAAGCAAAACATCTTTACCATTCTCTTCATCTCCTTGGAAACTTGATGAGTACCGAGATGGTTGTAAAACGGGCGATCTACTCCCCAGTGCGGTGGGTTGTGGCTGATGGAATTTGCACGCTGTCGGTTCATCTTGGCAATTGTCGCTTTCTCATCTTTCTACAACAAAGACAAGAGAATTGCAGAATATATCTGAATCATTAACATGGCAGTCATTCTTCACACCCTTCCATTTCTGGTCATTTATGACTTGTGTTAGCTCATCCATTGTTCACTTTAATGGATGGTTACTACTAGCAGCATGCATCTAATCATTCATTTACTAAACTTTTTATTTCCTGTCCTTGCAAGTATACAGGGACAATTTTGCAAAGGTGGCTTATAAGTAGGGGTCACCTCAAGGAGGTCGCTGGCCAATTTTGCAGGGAACAAGACTAGGGGTGGGCAGGGCAGTGCTGCTCACAGCAGGAGGCACAGAGGCTGCAGGCAGGCTCCATGCCTCCTGCTGTGAGC